AGTTTTCACATTTGACTCAGAATCTATTTCTACTGATATGGGAGTACCCCAAGGAAGGGTTCATTTTAGGACCAATATTATTTATATTATACGTCAATCAAATTAACTCTGTTGTTGACACCAAAGAAAAATTAATGATCATTATCATTATTATTAGTTGCGAAAAAATATAAAAATAACGGAAGTGAAATTCTGAAATCATGTGTATTTATCGTTCTTACACATATGCCCAACCTCGCATATCAATAAGCTGAACTGAACTATCTTAATTTCGGGAACTACCAATATACGATGCTTCCTCAGATTAGTCACTTGATGTCTTATTTCTACCGGTATATGGCAAGTACATTGAAGACGGCTGTGATAAAACGATCAACCAGATGATCATTCATTCCCGATCACCAAAGCATCATCTCGCGCACTATATTTACAGAAATAACTATCGTGCATATGAGTGTTACTAATTATGGCATATATATATATATGGAACAATAGCGTACCGAACAATTATAAATTTGTGACGTCATCGGTCAATTTAAAACATGCATGTTGCCTTAGCTGCCAGCATATGTAATTACATTAACATTCTAATCAAGGCATATTAAACCAATGAGGAAAATTATTTAGAAAGCCTATATAATTTATAGGGTGAGAAGAAATGGGATCGCAGGAATATTATCACAGATGGGAACACCCGGTAGGCAAATATTATTAGGATGAGAATGATAAAATTTAACATGAAAAAAATAATTGCAAGTAATTCGAAACATCAATAAGAAACTATAAACACATAATATTTTATTGGTTCTAGGTGGATCCTGGTGTTTTATTCTGTTGACTTCTTGTCCACCGTAATTGTTTACTTCAGTGAGTGTTCTCGTATCATTCCATGCTCTCTTATATTATATTTCGAAACCTACCTACAGCTTACCAAACGAGGTGATAACATGTTCAAAACAAATGCAGATCACAGAAATAAATAAGAAAAACCTTTTATTATTACACTTCTTTGAGATCAACTTATTTTCATTTATATTAGTAATTAAATATTGTAAAATAGGCTTTTTCGGGCTATCGCACGGACACAGCACACGGAAAAACTTTGAGAATATCCATGGAAACGCATCATACATGCCAAACACTGTATAGTCAGGATTGTTTATTCTTTGTCAATCAAAGTTATGTCGACAAAAAGAACTCAGAAAAAAATGCCGAAATTGCCGACAATATCCTAGAGCAAACGTTACAAGCGGCCGCGAATTTATTACCAGTAAAATACAGGTGAAGTTGTTCCAAGTTTTTTTCATCCCTACAACTGTGATAATTAGAATGCTCCAAGTTATTTTTGTTTCTCTGTTATGTGATATTTTATTATTAAATTTTTATTTTCAACGGAGTGTAATAAAAATATCGTTCATTACACGTCCAGAAATGATTTTTCCGTGCTTGCATGGCTTCTCGTGTTCGGCTTCGCCTCACACAGAATGAGAATTTGTCACACGCGGACGGAAAAATCCTTATTTCCAGACTCATAATGGAATATACTATCATTTCAGTAAAGCATCCTGATTATTTCCAACTCTTGTGAGATACTTTTTCTCCTGACGCCGAATAATAAGCAGTTTACTAATTTGCCCTCAAGACATTCTCCACTTATTCAGCTAACAATATTGAATCAGAATAACCAATGATTCGATATTGCTTGCATGAGCTGATTGAGAGGAAGATACACCATCCAATTTTACAATCTGTGTTGCTTCACTTTCCCTCTGGACCAAATCAGATTTTTTCGAAAAACAGAAATAATATCATAAGCTTCTAGATTCAAAGTATTATTTGCGAACAGTATGCGTATAAACTACGCTATTCGTTGCAGAGATTACAAGATGATGTAATCCAATATTCTACGTGGCATTAGCCAGGAAAGTAGATGTTTTTCTCCCGTTATGTACCATTGTTGTTAATCTTACTGAACACTTGTAGAAATGAAAAATACTGAAAAACCATTCTGGATAGGTTAGAGGCGAGTTAGAGATTGAGATGATAGTCTCGATCCTCGGTAAATATGGTATTTTGTTCCTCACACCTGACTGAAGACTGAATTACCTATCCAAATTGAAGTAGTATTAGTAGTGAATATACAGTGTGTCTGACTTCCAATGGAAACACCCCTGTATCTTACGTATTCGTTGGGTAAGGATCCTGAAATATGATGGAGCAAGATATATACCTAAAATGCACTCTATGACCAAGTGGAGTCATATTCAGTTATATACACTGCTCGCCAACGGCCATGGAACCAACCCGATTTCCGGAAAATGATATTAGGAGTCAAAATAGGTTGACAATCACTTCGAATTCCGAATCATGACGCCCAATACACTAACTATTCATATTCTTCTGAAAAAATTTTCAGCTCTGACAATTTCATTTTTGTCTCACTTTTCATGGAAACACCCCCGTATCTTACGTAATCGTTGGGAAAGGATCCTGAAATTTACTGGAGCGAGAGATATACCAAAAATATACGCTATGGCCAAGTGGGGTCTTCTTCTTCTTCTTCTTATTCTTCTCTGCACAGGTGGGCGGGTGCGTAGACCCCTGCACTCAGGCCTCTTCAGTCGGGCCCATCATTGTGCGCACACTTGTCCTGTGAATCAGCTGGGCATGCAGATTTCTTTGACGAAATTCAGCAGCTTCCTCAGCTGAGTCACATTCACATCCTTTGGGTGCAGTACAATGCTCCCAAAGGCAGCTTTCCTCTGATGCACCAACGCGGGGCATTCAGTGAGTATGTGTGATGATGTTTCATCATCCTCCAAGCACCATCTGCAGATTGGATCATCTTTGAATCCTATGAGTTCTAGATGCCTGTTGAGGTGGTTGTGCCCAGTTAAGAGCCCAACTACCATCTTGAGATCCCTTCTATTGAGTGACAGGATCTCTCTCGTGGGCCTTTTAGAAGGTTCCTTTATATAGAGCTTCAATTGTCTCATTCCTGGTATGGCCCGCCATGTTTCAAGGAACTGCCTCTGTAGCATTTCCTTCATGAAGGACATAGCCGTACTATTGGGTATTCCCAATATCGGTTCTGGTCCAATGGGTGTCATTCCTGAACCGACCAAGTGGGGTCATCTTCACTAATACACACTGCTTGCCCGTGGAACTACACACATGTCCGGAAAATGATATCAGGAGACAAGATTTTGCCTCCTTGTATCATTTTCCGGAAATTGGGGTGGTTTCATGGCTGTAGGCGAGCACTGTATATCACTGAAGATGAACTCAATGTGATAAGAGTACATTTTTGGTATATATTTCGCTCCAGCAAATTTCAGGATACCAACCAACGATTAAGAAAAATACAGGGGTGTTTCCATGAAAAGTGAGACAAAAATTAAATTTTCAGAACTCGAAATTTCTCAAGAGAATTATTACTAGTTAGTGTATTGGGCGTCCTGATTCCGATTACGGAGTGATTTTCAATCTATTTGCCTCCCTATATCATTTTTCGGTAATTGGGGTGGTTCCATGGCTGTTGGCGAGCAGTGGCTATCACGGAAGATGATTCCACTTAGTCATAGAGTACATTTTCGATATATGTCTCGCTTCAGCAAATTTCAGGATCCCAACCCAACGATTACGTAAAATACGGGGGTGTTTCTATGAAAGTGAGGCAAAAATGAAATTTCCAGAACTCAAAATTTCCCAGGAGAAATTGGAATAGTTAGTGTATTGGGCGTCCTGATTCCGAATTCAAAGTGATTTTCAATCTAGTTTGCCTCCTAATATTATTTACCGGAAATTGGGGTGGTTCCATGACTGTTGGCGAGCAGTGTACATCACTGAAGATGACTCCACTTCGTGATAGAGTACATTTTTGTTATATCTTCCGTTTCAGCAAATTTCAGGATCCTTACCCAACGAAGATGTAAGATACAGGGGTGTCATTAGAAGTGAGACACAGTGTACATAATAACGATACCTCAGGCCGGCGTACCTCAGTGCTTCGATGCTTCAATATCGATTCACGTCGAGGTATCGATCGTGGGTTCGAGACCCACGAACGCAGACTTTTTCTGATGGCCTAAGAAAGTGTTTGGGATCACACGTTAAAAGGTAAGGCCCCCGTCATTCCTTGCTCGCACAAGTCTTTCGAAGACTTCTGAGGGTTGCTCGTAAGGGGGCAACCGAATGACGGATAAGAACAATTTTAGAACAATTTTTGAGAACAATTTTAGATACAACAATCATTGATAACTGAGCTCAACAAACTTTTCGGATGGGTTAGAGGCTTAGTTGGATTCGAATGATAGGTTCTTTTTATTCTTCACTAACCCTACAATAACATAACACATACACAGCTGTAGTATTCGCGGTAGTCAAGGTCATCTGACGTTTTCAATCTGAGCCAGGGGTTAGAATCTAGAAGGGCTGGTGTTTATCAATAACGACTTCAGTTTCACCAAAATATAATGATTAAAATATACTGTGTGATATATTGTGGTCAAAAAAATTCGATATAGACCTTGGTAGTGAGGAATATTATCATCACGATACCCTGCATCTGCACCTTCAGTATTCCAGAGAACACCGAGCTAGTGAGAGACAATGTAGTCGTCAGCTCTGACCTGACATGCATAGAAGTCATAAATAGTGTGATCTTATTGTGTTCTCGCTCTTGTTACAAAAAACTGACTATACATTATTCACATCATTTATAATACACAGGGTGAGTCATAAATACTCATGACAAGATGCAATTCGAAATTTCTCATTCTAGAAATTTCATTATCATTTTATTTAGTTATAGTTCATCTTTTTCGCAACTTCGTGGGACGCACACAAATTTTTGTCATGATTTTATCATGATGTGCTCATATTCACTAGTAAAGTGTATGAAAAATGTGAACAAACATATTTTCAACGAAATTCTCGATCGATATTTCAAACTATCGATAGCTTTGTAACCACTAAGAACATACAGAAGACGGACTCACCTCTGTCCGAAAGGAAACATGTGCGAGAAGGGCGGCGGCGGCGGGGCAGGCATCGTGCTTGGCGGCTCCGAAGACCCCGAGGGGGCACGCGACGGGGGGCCGGACCGGTCGCCCTCACCTGCCCCCCGCGCTGCCTCGGGCGAGTCGCGGCTGCCCGCACTGCTGCGGCTTGAATACTCGCGCGCGCCTCATTTTGAAACGTAATTCTATATTCGTTGTCGATTTTTCTCACCACTAGGCTATAGGTACAGAACCTACCAATGTAGCTATACAATGAAGTACTAATTCACATAGACATAGACATAGCCATCCCTGTTATCACTGTTCTGATGCTAGATTCGCTAGAATGGCACTCGAATCTCGTAGGTTTAGTGTTTATCATAGACGACTTGTCATTTGCTGCAGTAGTCATCGCTTCTAGATTTTAATTAGAATTCAAAAGAATTGCTCTCATAATGACTGTTTCGTGACCTCACATCTTACTTTGTAGTTTATTAGCCTCAGTTTTAGTTTAATACTTATATATACATACATACAACATACATATTTTGATAATCTCCTTTTCGTAAATTTCTATATACTTAGTTCATTTCTCACTTTTGTCCGCGATCAATGCTGTGATTTTTAATTCTTGCTCTGCACGAAAAAAGGAGTAGGAGGAGAATAAGAAGGCGAAACCGATCAACGCAAAACCTCAGTAGCAATAATATCGCCGTATGATAAACACCTGCTCGCAAACCAATTATTTTCTCTCTCTCTCGCTCTCGTGACGCTGAGATACAGTGACCATCTCTTTTGTAAGAAAGTGCACCGGCCGGTTGCAAAGACGTTCAAGTGTGATGCAGCTCCCGAACTATTACATCACACCATAGATATCGTGGAATACAAAAGTCTACACACTGGTAAGAAAATCACAGCTTGATTGATATCAGTACAATTTCTTTTTCTCTCTCTCCCACTCTCTGTCGATCAGATGCATATAAGTAGGAACAATTATAATACTTCAGAAATATCATAATATAGTCCAGCACATAACAATGACAATAGGTCCATATTTCAGTTTCACAGAACTATAATGATTTATATATATTGCTATAGTGATGAAAGAAATTCAATATACACCTTGGTAGTGAGGAATATTTTTACCACGATACCCTGCACCTGCATCTTCAGTATTACAGTGAACACCGAGCGAGTCAGAGACAGTGTAGTCGTCAGCTCTCACCTGACATGCATCACGGATAGTCTAATCATATTGTGTTCTTGCTCGAATTACAAAAAACTGCCTATACATCATTCACATCATTTATAATACACAGGGTGAGTAATAAATACCTATCATTATATTTCGTTCTAGTTCATCCTTTTCGCTACTCCGTGGAACGCACACAAGTTTTTCTCTCGGTTTTTCCATGATATTTCCAAATTCTCCAGTATAACATATTTTCGACGAATTTCTCGACCGATAATTCAAACTAAAGACGGACTCACCTCTCTCCAAAGGGAAACATGTGCGAGAAGGGCGGCGGTGGCGGGGCAGGCATCGTGCGTGGCGGCTCCGACGACCCCGAGGGGGCGGGCGACGGGGGGCCGGACCGGTCGCCCTCGCCCGCCCCACGCGCTGTCTCGGGCGAGTCGCGACCACCCGCACTGCTGCGGCTCGAACACTCGCGCGCTGCCTCCTCTTCGGGGGAGGCGGCGGCAGCGGCTGGGGAGGGGGAGGTGCTGGGGCGGTTGGTGCCGACATCGCCCGACTGCGAAGGGAATCAGTTATTCATACAGTTTGCATGAAAAAGTTTCCAAAAAAGTGGAAATTTTTTTTTATCAATTTTAGAAAGAACTGTTATAATTGTATAACAAGGATGGGAAGTGCTACTCATCCTTCCTGTTATACATCTGATTCTTCCGCCTTCTCTCATATAACAAGTCATTTTTGAATTATTTATTCAAAAAACTAACAATATCCATTTCCTCCCGCGTGTGAAGTTTGATGCAAGACGCGTAGCGAAGGGCATCACTTTGAACCCCTAGGGATTTGAGGTACCACTTTTTTCCCCGAAAATAGGGAATAAAGGTTACCTCTTTCAATCCCTGAAGTGCATAAAGTACTTTTTCTCCAAGCAGCATAGAAAGTGGCTTTTCTCTGACACTTAACAGGCAGGAAAGGTGTATTTGTGTATTTTTTCTGCCCAGGCTGGAAAAGTGTACTGCTGTGTGTCTTTAAAATTGACATTGACATTGGGAGAACACAAAATGATGGAGTTTTCAATGAAGGAATCAAACAAAATTGGTTTTACAACATTTACAGAAAAAAATTATATGTTCCACACTTCCTAGGGAGGAAAAGTACGAGTTTGTAGGGTATTAAGAGCTTGAGCGACGGCGAGGACTATTATTAACACGCCACGGTTGGGTATCGGCTATCAATTCGAAGGCTCGGAAACCGACGCTCTTTCTCTGAGAAAGTAGCATTTTTCCGACCTTCTCCGTACGTACTCACGGGACTAGGCCAGAATATGAATATGAAAATCATGGTAGGTATGGTTTTGATAAATGCATCAGTTGATCATTACCATTAGCAGCCAAATAATGACTGACAGCTATTTAACCTATAATTAGTTCGGTTTTTGGAAGTTTGCATGGTTTCTGATTGTAATTATCGTAATAAACTATGAAAAGTAGCAACTATAGTGCCATAAGTATAGGTTTCAAAATGATGCCTTAGAAAATATCCAATGCATCAGCTCTGCTGCAGCATAATACTTATTACCTGAAAGGCCGGATCCGCGGAGCCGTTTCTGGGACCAGAGCTTGTACTAGGTATAGCAAGGAGCCAAACTACGTCAGCCCTTGATGAATGAGCAGACAAGGCACTAGGAGAATACTGGAGAAATATCATAGGATGCAGACAGGCCAAGGAATTCGTGGCCGGTTCGAGTAAATCAAGGAAGGACTGGCTGACCGCCAAGTACTCCGCCTCCTCATAGGAGTACTCACAGGACACAACAGGCTAGGCAGACAGCTAACACTTATGGGAATAGAGGAAAACTCCACTTGCCGCAGATGTGGGGTAGACGAAGAAACATTACTCCATTTCCTCGGCGAGTGCAAGGCATACGGGAGGCTGAGATTTGAAATTTTTGGAGTCGACAAACTCCAACAGGAGGAGTTGATCACATTATAGTGGACGGCCATACTGGGCTTCATCAGAAGGTCAGGGAGATTCTCAAAGGAAATCTAGAATGTAAACTATGGCTTATTTGGCGCTGAAATCTGGAACTGTCATATCCTCTATACCCTGTGGAACATTTTTTACTCTACATTGAAAAGTACAATTTTAGTGGAGAAAAATGTGAACATAGCCACATGACAGTTTTAGTCAACTCAAACGCCGCTCTCGTATTGTGTCGTATAGAGTTTGCGAACGAAAAGTTAGTGTCTGCGGAAGAAAAGTACTTGCTTTCCGAAAAAGTTGATTTTTCATTCGGAAATTGGTGCGTGGAGAATACAGTAGTTTATCCATTCCTTTGATCAAAATAAGGTACCTAATGCCTAAATGCAACTATAGTTCTAGTCGCAATTATGGTTTTGATTAATAATATACATACATATAACATGAAATGAAAGATCATTACTAAATACCTTTCTGAACATGTTCAACTTATATACGTTCCAATAAAAGTTACCTTTTCATCCTTGGTGTCTTCATCCCTTTTTATATCCTGACCATCTCTCTTCCGTTGTTCTTCCTTCAGTCTCTCCGCTTTCCTCCATTTAGCTCTCCTATTCTGAAACCATACCTGTAAGATACAAAATATATTGATCAAATCTCTACATATAAGTACTGGTTATATAGTTATTGGGTGTTCCAGATTTTGTACATCAATTCTGAGTGTTGATAGATACTCACAAATTGAGGAAACTGCTCTCAAAGAACAAGAAAGGAATATTTTCCTATATCTGGGGAAATACTGAAGTAATCCTTTCAATTTTGGCACTCTAAAAATGCAACGCTAATGTCATACATCAGGATATGTGATTTCCACATGATAACAATCCATGTAACTTGATGTACATAAAGATCATTTTCGAGCATTTGGATCTCATCAGTGTAGGGAAGTCTTCAGCTAGCAGCCCGGAGACTACCCTACACTGATGAGAGCCAGAAGCTCGAAACCTGTCTGAAAGTGTCGTTGCGTTGATTCGGGAAGAATATTTTTTTCACTTATATTACATCTGCGGAAATCAGAGAGCCATAAAGGGAACGATATTGCTAAACACCAGCCACTGTGACCTATATAGACACTTTGTGACACACCTACATTTGGCAACAGTGCATCCTTCGGGTATGTTCGGAGGGTACGAGTTTATCGAAATGTGGGTCCAACACCGCGCAACCATACAGATTTAGCATAGCGTTCCGAATTTTTTGCGTTGTAGTACGTGTTCATTACATAAAGATCTTTCAATTTGCATGGAAGTAAAATTTTGCAAGAATGTTGGTTTTTTCAACACTTCCATTTTTTTATGGAATGCGCTATCAATATCAGGGTGCACCATTGCTATCACTGGCTTGAACAGGCGCCGTTTTTTGACGCACTATTTCAGTCGGCGCTTTTATGTCGCAGCGCTAATTCCTATTGGCGCTTTTTTGTCACGCGCTATTTGTTCCGCGCTATTTTGTCGCTCGCTATTCAGTCTAGCGCTTGATAATAGAGCCGAAAATTATACGTCCGTTCCATCCAAGCTTTCTGCAATAGGATGAGCTGGCATGGAGTTTCGATGTGAACGCGCATCTATTTTATATGTCATTAATCCGTAGACCGTAGGCGAATAAGTCGGAAAACTGCCTGGAGCCCTTTTCCACCAAGGTGTGTATTAGATTGCGTCGCCAATTAGCCTCCTATTTGTATGCAGAAATGAGACTCTTTGGACACAATTACACTCATCACATGCCAGTTGTGCCAACTATATATACATATATGTGTCTTTCTCGTTCACAGGGGCGTACATTAAGAGTATACACTTGAAAAAATGAGAATTATGTGGCACATGATATCTGGAATTCAATCCATCATGAGAAACACGGACAATCTAGTTCATTTGCAATAGATATACCCATACTTCGAAAGCGTTTGACCAAGTATGGTGGTACGTTATCCCTCTACTGTTGGCCTTTCCCTACTATGCCATTGAATAACCAGTGCTCTTCAGCATCGATGTCTTCATGTAGTTTTGATGTGATCGTCTGCCTATCAATGCAAGAGTGCCATATGGGGCTCGTTCCTAGAGATCTGGAAGGGAATTGCCGGCTTCATTGAATATCCTATTTCAATGAGTTTCGTAGTAGGAAATGGAGAAAAGAACTTTTTCGCTTTCTTGGAGCATATCCTGCAGATCGTTCGTCATATCCAAACTAACATTTTCATTTTGTATGAGGCTATTGAAAGCAGAGATATCGCGTGACTAAAAAGTAGAGATAAATCAATGAGTGATGGTGATATGAGTGAGTGGTCCATATGTTGCATCGGGTATATTTTTTATATTTTGTGCTGGTCGAATGGCTTCCTAATCCTATATGCCGGTGTTTCTCCAGTTCTGTACATACGCAGGGTATAATTTAAGTGATGGCGTGAAATAAAGGATATGGTTCCTCAGCTCATCTTGAGAAGAGAAGTTCATATGATCATATGCCCTAAACATCTCAACTTTCGACCTATACGGTGTTAAAATTTAAAGAAAAAAAGCGTTTTCTCATCATAACTTCAATACCGTCGCTCTAGATATTTTCATAAAATTTGACATGCACCTACTAAGCACCAATATGCATTTTTCGATGCAGGAGATTTTCCAATATACTTACCATTGGCGTACGTATGGGATGTATCCTGGAGATTTTTTGAAAAATATATTGTTCGTCCATGATTTTTTCGAGAAAATAAATCATTCTTGTAATCCTCATTTTTTTGCAACAATTCAACTTCCTGATTTCTTTCCGTCTAACAAACCGTTTCCGTGTAAAAAATAAAAACAATTTTCATGCATTTGTGGCATAACGAAATTATTTTGAACTAGTCCTATTTTGTATTTGAAATAATGACATTTGATCGAAGACGTTCCGGTCTTATTTTGACAAGTATTCATGAAAGTGACAGTTTTTTACATTTTGAGAGTTTATTTGATCAATGAAAAGAAAAGAAAATGTAAACACCCTATATTTCGAAAGTTGAGAGGTTTAGGGAATATGTTCATATGAACTTCTTTTTTAAAATGTGCTAAGGAACCATATCCAATATTTTCAGCTATCGATAAAATTACACCTTATATATCTCTAACTCGTTTCTCATTTTTATCAACGATCTTCTGCGCAGTCTGATAGCGATAACCAATCCAAATAGTAAACACCGATCAGAAGAAGATCCATTCCTCCTGGCAAAACCAGCATAGGAGTTTTTCTGTCAGGCCAATCGTACTCATGAGCCTAATGCTCTGTTAGGAGTCCTGATATATCTTGCTCATATTAGATAATCTGTGAATGTTTTCCTCAGCGTTTTCTAACTACTGAACTAGGCGACACAAATGACGCCTGCTGATGGAAATTAGTCGCTTGAAATTGAACACCGAATAATAATAAGTACGAAACAGTTTCCTTCGCAGAAGTTAATAGATTGTTTGCTGATGAAATATTATTATTCATTTCAATATACCTTTCTATAAAATATCAGAACTGTTTCGCCTGGTACGATGTTTATCAGTGCACTAGTGCATTATCAGCTTGTCAATGCACAGGAAAGATGTCGATTGATAAATCTTTTATAGTTCATTTTTGTCGAATTTTATCACCATTCTTTTGCCGAACTACTGCAGTGTTTTCCAGGCAGAAATAGGAGCTATAAACGAAACAGCCAAATGGGTACTTCAAACCGGACTTAATTTAATGGAATATCTATTCTAAGTAACAGCCAAGCTGCCATTAAGTCTATAAACTCGGTCTACCTGACCGCCTAAAGGTGGCTATACAATGCCGTAAAGCCTTAGATGAGCTGGCGACTCAAGTAAGAGTCAATGTTGTCTGGGTACCCGGCCACAAGGACATAGCAGAAAATGGTATGGCAGACGAGTTAGCAAGAGCTGGTACGACGCTAGCAGCTACATCCGCTAATACTAGACCAGAGGCACCTATCGCTGAACGGAGGTTGATCCTCCGGACGGAAGAACTCTGCCTAACCAACCTTAGGTGTCGAGATAAGCCTTCTTGCACCTCGTCTAGACAGGTGTGGCCAAAGCTCAACCTGCGACGCACTAAAGTTATTTTATCTCTTTCCAGAAACTCCATCGGAAACGCAGTTGCGGCTATCACTGGACACTGGCTAGGAGGTTGTTATCCTACAACGTAATGACTTCTGTAGAAGCTAGCCAGACGAGGAGGAGGAAGACACGATGATCCACTTACTCTGCCATTGCCCTGCCCTATCCAGGAAAAGATTGTCTGCTCTAAGGCAACATATCCGATCATCAGTCGGTTGGTATCAAAAGTCTTATGCTATTCATCAACAGCAGCTACTGGTTCTCACGGTATAGTTTTTGCAATGGTAACCACCCCATACGGCATCACAAGGGGCCTCTGGCCTACGTGCGGGTTCCATTCCAAACCACCTTATCAACCTAACCTAACCTAACCACCATTCTCAATATTTTATCAAGGATCTCATGATATAAACTCTATGTTCCTTCCTAGGCACTATCTAGGATTTTAATATAATTAGATTATTACATTCTATGCACCACACAGTTTTTCGCTATACTTTCTCCTACTTGGGATAGCGGACCGTCTCTTCATTTCCCTCCACCCTCAACTTCTATGCTCTTTCAGGGTTAGTATAAGTTTTCAAGCAGAATTTTTTTTTCCTACCAACTCAATCTTGTATTCAGCTTTTTCGCTTGATTATGATTCTAGCGACAAATTTTGCTTGGAATATTTCTTCTGCTCAAGCTATCTTTCGCTCAGGCATTGTCGTTCTAGATGACAACCTAGTTAGGTGCGAGTGCTCTCCTCTTCGCACTAGGTCGCCTACTAGGTTTTCATTCAGATCGAAAATGACTCAGGTAAATATGCTTTTGATTTGTGTGTCACTAAACTCTCTATACATTCATAGTATGTTTGCTACAAGATGTCTGCTAACTCGAGAATTTCGTATGTTTTTTAAGTTCTGGTTCCCACGAATAGGGATATCCTGTAATGTTCAGAGAACATCGTGAGAACCAAGGAAAATAAGGTAGGAATTGGTGTTCTTCTTGAATTTCTGGAGGTTATATGCCTCGGGGCACACCTCCCTTGGCAATGTGTTCCAGAACCTCGCTGTTCGTTGGATGAACGAGTCTTTGGAAAGAGATGTTCTGCAGGTCTCTAAAGTGACCACGAAGGGACGAGGGACGATTGCTGATATTTCAGAAGAGCATCGTCCATGTAAATATCTATAAAATAGAGCCAGATCGCCAACTTTTATACGGTGTTCCAGAGAAGTGAGTGGGTTTGTGAGTGAGGCATCACCCACGAGACGAATTGACCTTTTTTGGACAAAATCCAACAGTTTCAGGGTATGTTTGGGTCCTGCACTCTACTACAAATATGGGAACTGTATCTCAGGACAGGTCGGATCTGTGCCTTATAGATCATAAGCAGCTGCCTGGAAGTGAAATAGCTCCTGGCCCGAAACAGAAAACCAAGTTTTTGGAATGCACTTTTAGCAATTAATCTCACGTGATTTTCCCAAGAAAGGTTATTGCTGATAGTAATACC